AAATGTAATTATGTAATAAAGGAAGGGGCAAACATGTAATAAGTGAGGAGCCCTTATTTTATAAAAGGACTCCTCACTCTTCTCATTGAGAGAGGCCAATTCTTAGGCCACACCCTCACCCTCTTAGAGCTCTCATCCTCATAGAGAAGCTCCCTATCTCCCTCATAATCCTCTCAGAGAAATACAATCAATGTGAATGTAGCCCAAACATTGGGGTGAACCACGATACATCTTGTGTTATTTACATTTCTTGCAGATTCACAGTCAGATTTACGTTGTTCCAAGACTCCTCCGGTTTTGTGTATCAACATTTGGCACCGCTTGTGGGAACCGACACGAAAAACTATGTCGGTTCTCTCTCAATTTTTCATCTCACCACCGTGAAAACTTCACAACCCCCACCGTGAATCTGCAAAATCACAAAAAAAAAAAAAAAAAAAAAAAAAAAACCCAGAAACAGAAAAGATCCAAATCTCAAATCGCTTGGAAGTCTTAACTTTTCCATTCAAACTTTTAGGATGGCTTTTCTCTATGCATATCTGTTCCTCTTCCTCAGGCAATTTCCTTTTGTTATTCTCACCGAGATCCATTCTAGCACTTTCTTGGATAGACACCTGACATTGGGAAACAATTCTTTTCCCAGATGTATTACTATTTCTGTTGGATGGGGAATCTTCTGTCCTGAAGCAATCAGGCTTTGCATCACCCAACTCACTCAGCAGATGCACACGCACCTTCTGACCTTCCGTCCTCGTCGAAGAAGCACATCAATCAGATCCAATGGGTGAATCAACCACAACCGCAATCGATGGCAACTAGCTGACAGCCACTTCGACCCGGAGTCCTCCTCACGGTCCCGGGTCCCGAATGCGTCCACAAGCTCGCGGGTCTTTCCAACGCCATGGCCAGTGCTTGGCCCATGGTGATGATCTCGGGTTCGTGCGACCAGTAAAAATCTACTTCCTCTGCATATCAAGCTCGCAACTTTTTTCACTCATCCGCCACTTTACACTTCGCAATTCAAAAAATGAGAACATGGGTTGTGTTTCTTCCAATCTCTTCAACCACGATGACTAGTTCTCCCAACTCGACAGCTCCGCGCTCAGCCACCACATCGTCTCGCTCACTTCCTCCATCTACGGCCTTCTCACTCTGGACCCGCCATCGCCTGTGCCCATCACTCCACTGACCCCTCTTCCTCGATTCACTCTCGGGTCCATTTTTTCGAGCCTCCTGTCGGAGCCCAAGTTGTTCTGGTTCGAACCCAGGTCGCTATGGTTCGAACCTAGGCCGCTACGGTCCGACCCGGAAGTCATTAACTCATGGGAGCTTATGGTCGGCCTCGACGCTAATAGCCAGGAGATCAATCAGATCTTGGGTTCGTACTTGGCCCATGGAGATCAACGAATTCAATCACCATAACCGCTGATTAAAGCTATGGCTCCGATGGCAGTCGGTGATGTTATTCCAGATGACACTCTCACCGACTTCGACGATGAGGACAAGGTCCAATCCGTCGGCGTCCACTCCCTCACCGTCGATAAAAAAGTCATCCTCTTCGGCGTCCCCGGTGCCTTCACCCCACTTGCAGTTTGAAGCACGTGCCTGGATTCATTGAGAAAGCAGACGAGCTTAAATCGAAAGGTGTTGAGAAAATTCTGTGTCATAACGAAAAGGAAAAGAAAAAGCAAGGGATGTCTAGAGAAAGCAAAAGCAAAAAAGAAGACGCAATGAAAAAATTAAAAGAAAAAGCAAGGGATGTCTGGAGAAAGCAAAAGCAAAAAGAATACGCAATGGAAAAATGAAAAGAAAAAGCAAGGGATGTCTGGAGAAAGCAAAAGCAAAAAAAAGACGTAATGAACAAAGAGAAAAGTAAAAGCAAAAGCAGAAAGCAAAAGAGGATAAAAAGAAGCAGACATAATTGTGGTGGTGATGGCATGCAGAAGAGGGAATTATAGGCGTGACCGATTGAGCAGATGGTTGGATTTATTTTTTCATTATGTAATTTGTTTTTCTTATCTTTCGGAGACATCTGTATAAACCCCATCAGAGGGTAATAAAAAAAAAAGGACAAGCCCAAAATAATGGGCTGCAATGTCGTGTGGAGGGCGGAAGTCCATATGCCTAAAAGAGCCAGGCCCTCTATTATCACCAACCAGGTGATCAAAAGTACGTCCAGTACTACAAAAAATTATTCGGTAGTCTGCCGCTATTACCACCAACTAGGTGATCAAAAGTACGTTCGATACTACAAAAAATTATTCGCAGTCTGCCTCTATTATCACCAACCAGGTGATCAAAAGTACATCCAGTACTTCAAAATCATACATGAGCATTACTCATGTCAATCATACATAAACATTCATGAGCATCACTCATGTCAATCATACATAAACATTCATGACCATCATTCATGTCAACATTCATGACCATCATTCATGTCAACATTCATGAGCGCATCACTCATGTCAACATCCATGAGCATCACTCATGTCAATCAACATAAACATTCATGAGCATCACTCATGTCAATCTAGCTTCAAAAGCTTCATTTACAGAGTTTTAGCTTTGAAAGCTTCATTTACAGAGTTCTAAGCTTCGAAAGCTTCATTTATAAAACTCCAACTTCGAAAGCTTCATTTACAGAGCTCTAGCTTTAAAAGCTTCATTTACAGAACTCTAGCTTCAAAAGCTTCATTTACAGAGCTCTAGCTTCAAAAGTTTCATTTACAGAGCTCTAGCTTCAAAGCTTCAACTTGCAAAGCTTTACCTACAAAGCTTCAGTGCATGGTCCACAAAGACCACCTCTGAACAACCGCCATTTCGGCCCATACATGGATTCAATTTAAAGTCTCCAGCCAACAGACTTTATTGACCGAAGACTTGAGGGACTACATTATGTACCATTTATTGGGCCTTAATTGGGCCTAATGAAAAATACTTGGGGGACTTAGCCCATTATTTATTTATATATTGAGGAGCAATCCTTTATTCTATAAAAGGGACTCCCTTACTTTCATTAGAGAGCACCCATTATTTATGTACTGAGAGCGATCCTTTATTTTATAAAAGGGACTCACTCACCTTCATTAGAGAGCATCACCGCCAGCTGAGCAATCGCCTCGCCGCGAGCATCACTCCTAACCCATCACTTATGTATTGAGGAGCGAACCCTTATTCTATAAAAGGGACTCCCTCACCATCATTAGAGAGTATCGCCGCCTACTGAGCAACCGTCTCGCCGTGAGCATCAACTCTAGCCCATCATTTATGTATTGAGGAGCGAGCCCTTATTCTATAAAAGGGACTCCCTCACCTTCAACGCCACAAGCAGAGCCAACCAAGGCAACATAAGCCACAACCAGAGCAGCCTGGCAACATGTCCTACTTCTGGTTGAGCATCATTTCGGATTGGGCACCGTCTCATATCGAGTATCAGTTCTAGACGACATCTAGTTACTTTGGCCCACACATGGACTGAATTTCAAGTCTCCAGCCAAAAGACTCTCTTGACTGAAGACTTGAGGGACTACTGTTTGTACCATACTTAAGGCCTCCGTATTTAGATCTCGTATAAATACTCAGAGGGACTCAAATGTAATTATGTAATAAAGGAAGGGGCAAATATGTTATAAGTGAGGAGCCCTTATTCTATAAAATGACTCCTCACTCTCCTCATTAAGAGAGGCCAATTCTTAGGCCACACCCTCACCCTTTCAGAGCTCTCATCCTCATAGAGAAGCTCCCTCTCCCTTATAATCCTCTCAGAGAAATACAATCAATGTGAACGTAGCCCAAACATTGGGGTGAACCACGATACATCTTGTGTTATTTACATTCCTTGCAAATTCACGGTCGGATTTACATTGTTCCAAAACTCCTCCGGTTTTGTGCATCAACAAAATTTAATCATTATTAATGTCTTGGTTAACAGACTTGACAATGATTAAAGGAGGCACTGCCCTGAACTCCCTTCATCTTGGACATACAACATTATGAATTAAAAGTCCTTGTTTATAAGGCAAGAAAAAGAACTTAATGCATATTTAACCCATGCGACAATCCTTTGATAAAGAAGAAGTCTAAATAACTTGAGGCACAAGTAATCGACTTAATTCACACCCATTTAACAATCTGTTATACAAAGATAACAGTGGGCCCCTCATATCTTTGTTAGTTTTGATAGTGAGTCTCAAGGCCTAGACCAAAGGTCCCACAAAGGCACCTTTCAAATTAACCATAAACTCATCTTGCAGCACACCAAACAGCAAGGTCTTGCCCGACTGGCAAGAAATAGCCATTTCCCTAGGGAGCTGTGGAGGAATCAGATCCAGAATCCAACCCGAACAATTTTTGTTTTACCATCTTGAAGAAAAGCTCAAATGGGTTGCAGCATGAACGAATCTAATGTGAATTTCTAGGGTTCTAGTTAGTGAAGAAAAACCAAACGCGATTGAGTTGGTTTTATCTTGGATGCTTAGTTGTGAGAGAGAATGGCGTTGTTTTTATTTTTTTATATGAAGTAAGCTTCAATAGCTGAGTTGGATGCTTTCTTTCCAATTAGACCAGAATTTATAAGATGGCATGCTGCTTTCTCTGAAGATGGTCATTTGGATACAGCTAAAGTGCTTGGACGAATCCAATGGTGGGGTCTGAGAATTCTTGTTAGGTTGCTTTGATCCAAATAGCACATTCGATGAACGAAATCAGCTCAGGCAGTGCCATAGGTAATATATAAAAAAAAGGTTATTTTGGGAATAATAGTGGGTGGGGAAATAACATTTTAATTTTTTAAGTTTATGTGGTGGGTGAAATTATAATGTGGGTCGGAAAATAAGACAATGAGGTGGGTCTAGTAGCTCTCCGAAACAATTGTCACACTGTCAACCGGGATAAAAGATATTACGTGGAGTTGGTGTAGCAAAAAAGGAGAAACTGAAAAGGGTAGTAGAATGGGTGAAGAAGAGGAACTCAAGATCTCCATGGATGTCAACTGCAGGAGGAAAACTCTCGAGAAACTGAAAAGGGTAGTAGAATGGGTGAAGAAGAGGAACTCAAGATCTCCATGGACATGCTTTTCACTTTTGCAACACTAACCAATTCTTGAAAGGCCTTTTTTTACGCGCCTGTTGCTGAAATTTTTCTGCCCTTCAACTCAATATCTCATGATCAATGTGAGTCGTTTAACAAGGAAGACATGTTTATTAGTAGGAAACTGTATAAAGCCGGTGATGGCGGTGTGGCGAGAGATCTCATTTGCACAGGCTGCCAGCTTTGTGGTTCCCCATTGAAGCTCGACAGGTATGTGATCAAAGATCAGACATATTGTATTATGCTTTGTTTGCGTTGCAAGGTAGTTATGAGTACGGAATTTATGTCGATGGAAAATGTTTTGGTGCCTTGTTGTTGCAGTGAGAACGTGTTTAAGCATAATGCAGTTGCGCTTTATTGTTCAGAAAGCTTGAACCACCTTCATGCCATAAGCTCCATATACAGGGTCTTTATGTTATGACTTTGTTTTCCCACTGATCAACTTTCGTGCTGTTCGAATTTAGTTTATGCCAACTATTCCCCCATGATTTGTTCCAATCTGATTGCTTTCTGAGTTCTTGTTTATTATATACATGTTAAACACGGTTGTTCTTCTGACTGCAGTTATATGTGTGGGACAAAGCGGATTATGCACCGTTCCTGGTCAGAAACAAGGCCGCAGAGCTCTTGTTCGGGAACATCAGGGCTGAAAGAGTGTTCGTACTATAAGGGGAAAAAGCAAGCCGGAAAAGTTGATTCGAAAGATGTTCCGACACATACTAGTCTAAATGCCAAAGCGGCCTGGCAACCTAAAGCGGCTGAGGGAGGTGTTGTGGTTTCTTATTCAGCAGACAGAGACAAGAAGAGCTTGGAATCAAAGGGGAAACACTGCTGAAAACAATGCTGCAGCAAGGAAAGAACAACCCTTTGAAATTCGAAGTCAATGCAAATGCCGTTTTTGTTTAGACAAGGCAAATGGGAGGTTTGAAATGGTTTCTGTGCAGTTGCCATGCTTCAAAACCAAATAATCTTCAAACTATGTATTGTTTATCAAGAATTAAGAGTTTCTCTTTGTAATTATACATCGTATATTATAAGTCACAACATTTGCTGCTGAACAACTTTAAAGTAATTTTCATACAGGTATTTCCAAGATGAATAAAAACAGAGGAATTAGAATTCTCTGCTTCGAATGAACTCATGGAATTGTGCCATGCGAGGGAGATTAAATTGACGTTATGTCATTAACAAATTTCGTGTGATTATTAACCCATGAAAAAGGGAAGGCATAATTCAAGCAAAGGGGTCATTCAACAGGTTCGACTATTAAGCTTTTACAGTAAAGAAATTTGAAGAGAAAACTGACAGCAGCCAAACACGGGCATATGATCCATATGCTTAAGAGTCAAGACTATGATTCCGCCCCAGTCTCAGCAAATGAAGCATCAGTTGCAGATTTCTGGGCTTCTAATAGCTTCGCTTGGCATTCTGCATGTTCTCTTTCACACTGAGTGATTCCCATTATAATATCAAGCATGGTACCTGTTGTGCCGAAGAACACAAGCGGCGCTAAAGATTTCCTTTTTATCCCCACTGGAATCGCTAACAAAGCCCCTGCTACGGAGAAAACCCAAGTGCCCATTGCGCTGCAGATAGCCATGCACAGCATCATACAACTACACTTTAAGCTAGCACATAAATCAGAATAAAATTAAACGGGAAAGACTGTATCAACGATAAAGTGAAATTTGCCATGCTCTAATGAAGTTGAGTGATGTATTGCTGGTTTAGCCAGATGATATTCGGAATGTATTAATAAACTAATATTCCAGAAATTTTATTTATGATTTTTCTGATAAACACATAATTTTTCTCTTTCGTGTAACGGCATGGGTCAATGAGACAATTAAAACAATTGAACTGAGTAGAAACCTCTGCAGGATTGCGAACCATAAAACTGTGGAAGAAAACATCAGAGAAACTATGTATGGAGTCCAATGAGTCAATAACTAATACTGACGGGAGCAAAAACATGCTCGAATTACTTGTACAAGTTTTAGTAGACAGGTCTAAATTCTCCATGATAGCTAGAAGTCACTATAGTCAAATGTACAAGTATCCTGGTTTATAACAAAATCTTAAAGTTCAACACGAAATTGGTGATCTCCTAGCTCTACGAGGATTTGTTAATATCAATTTGTTTGATATTCAATATGCATAAAATTATATTGATTAAACTGTCCAAGATATGCGCTAAAGCTAGGGCGTCACCCGTAAGTGGCGCGCTGTGTGGCCCGAGCACAGTGATAAGTGAGCAAGGGTCGCTGTATCTTCATCGGCACCCGGATGCAGTGTTAAATGAGCAAGGGGGCTATAGAAACTTCTTTTCAAACGACTCCACTCAAAGTTGTTTGGGAGCATATGCTCCTATCAACTTTACACGGGACACACAAAAGAAGTACTTTGATCCTATTAGACGGGGAATGGTGAAGAAGCTAGGACAGAAGGGTAGAGTTCAAGAGAGCAAAATGCGTTTAGGAACGTGGAATATAGGAACCTTGACGGGAAAATCTATGGAAGTAGTAGAAGTTATGGTGAGGAGAAGGATAAATATTATGTGCCTACAAGAAACTAAGTGGGTTGGTCGTAAGGCAAAGGATCTAGAAAACTCAGGGTTTAAACTATGGTATTCGGGCACAAATAGAACGAGAAACGGTGTTGGCATCATCGTGGACAAGACCTTGACACAAGATGTTGTAGATGTCAAGAGGGTAGGAGATAGAATCATGGCAATCAAGATTGTAATAGGAAAAGAACTTATCAATGTGATTAGTGCGTACGCACCTCAAGTAGGGTTGGATACAAGTTCGAAGGAGAAATTTTGGGAAGACCTTGGAGACTTGGTGCAAGGAATTGCTCAGACGGAGAAGTTATTTATAGGAGGAGATTTAAATGGACACGTGGGCAGGGAGACAGGCAACTATGGAGGTTTTCATGGTGGCCATGGTTTTTGGGGAGAGAAACGAGGATGGGGAAGCTATCTTGGATTTTGCAATGGCATATGATCTCTTCTTAGCCAACACCTTCTTTAAGAAGAGAGAAGAACATGTGATCACCTACAAGAGTGGGTCGTCAAAAACACAAATAGATTTTCTTCTAATGAGGAAAGGGGATCGTATAACTTGTAAGGATTGCAAAGTTATACCAGGAGAGAGCGTGGCTAATCAACATCGCTTGTTGGTGATGGATGTACATATCAAAAGAGTGAGAAAAAAGAACAAGACTTGGAAGTGCCCAAGGACTAGATGGTGGAATCTAAAAGAAGAAAAACAAGCCATTTTCAAAGAGAAAGTAATCACCCAGTGTGTGTGGGATAGAGAGGGGGAAGCTAACCAAATGTGGGATTCCATGGCTAGTTGTATCCGAAAAGTAGCAAAAGAGGTATTAGGAGAGTCCAAGGGCTTTGCCCCACACCAAAAGGAATCTTGGTGGTGGAATGAGGAGGTACAAACAAAGGTGAAGGCTAAGAAGGAATGTTGTAAAGCCTTATACAAGGATAGGACCGATGAAAATGGTGAAAGGTATAGAAAAGCGAAGCAAGAGGCGAAGAAAGCTGTGAGAGAAGCTAAGTTAGCGGCTTATGACGATATGTATAAGCGACTAGATACCAAAGAAGGAGAGTTGGATATCTATAAACTAGCTAGAGCAAGGGAAAAGAAGACAAGGGACCTAAACCAAGTGAGGTGCATCAAGGATGAGGATGGAAAGGTTCTTGCTACAGAGAACGCGCGGTTAAAGACAGATGGAAAGGTTATTTTCATAATCTTTTCAATGAAGGACATGAAATGAGTGCTTCTTTAAGGGAGTTGAGTAACTCAGAAGAGTGTAGAAACTACTCTTTTTATCGTCGAGAATCCGGAAGGAAGAAGTGGTTGTAGCTTTGAAGAAGATGAAGCATAGAAAAGCAGTAGGCCCAGACGATATACCAATCGAAGTGTGGAAAGTTTTGGGAGAGACAGGTATAACATGGCTCACTGACCTTTTCAATAGGATTTTGAAAACGAAGAAGATGCCAAATGAGTGGCGAACGAGCACTTTGGTGCCTATCTACAAGAATAAGGGCGACGTACAAAATTGCATGAACTATAGGGGTATTAAGCTAATGAGTCATACAATGAAGCTCTGGGAGAGAGTCATTGAGCATAGATTGAGGCAAGAGACACGGGTTTCGGACAACCAATTCGGGTTCATGCCAGGGGCGCTCAACCATGGAGGCAATCTATCTCTTACGAAGATTGATGGAAAGATATAGAGATGGGAAAAAGGATTTACACATGGTCTTTATAGATTTGGAAAAAGCGTATGATAGGGTCCCAAGAGACATTCTTTGGAGGATTTTAGAGAAGAAAGGAAGTACGAGTAGCATATATCCAAGCTATACAGGATATGTATGAAGGAGTAAAAGACTGCCGTAAGAACTCATGAAGGACAAACCGAAAGCTTTCCCATAACTGTAGGATTACATCAAGGCTCATCCTTAAGTCCTTACCTTTTTGCGTTGGTAATGGATGAGTTAACAGGACATATTCAAGATGATATTCCTTGGTGTATGCTTTTCGCAGACGATATAGTGTTGATAGATGAAACTCAGGAAGGGGTAAATGCAAAGCTTAACCTTTGGAGAGAAGTGTTGGAATCTAAAGGTCTTCGCCTAAGCCGATCAAAGACAGAATATATGGAGTGCAAGTTCAGTGCAAATGGAGGCCAAAACGAGTTAGGGGTGAGGATCGGAGATCAAGAAATACCAAAGAGCGACCGTTTTCGTTACCTAGGATCTATCTTGCAAAAGAACGGAGAATTAGATGGAGATCTCAACCATAGAATACAAGCTGGATGGATGAAGTGGAAGAGTGCATCCGGCGTGTTGTGTGACCGCCGTATGCCACTGAAGCTCAAGGGAAAATTTTATAGGACGGCAATAAGGCCGGCGATGCTGTATGGCACAGAATGTTGGGCGGTGAAGCATCAACACGTACACAAAATGGGTGTAGCGGAGATGAGGATGCTTCGTTGGATGTGTGGGCACACGAGAAAGGATAAGATTAGGAATGAGGATATCCGGGGTAAAGTAGGAGTAGCCGAAATTGAAGGAAAGATGAGAGAAAATCGGTTACGGTGGTTTGGACATGTGCAAAGAAGGCCTACTGACGCTCCGATTAGAAGATGCGACTATGGGACAGAGGTTCAGGGCCGAAGGGGTAGAGGAAGACCTAGGAAAACTTTGGAAGAGACCCTAAGAAAAGACTTAGAGTACTTGGATCTAACGGAGGACATGACACAGGACAGAACACAATGGCGTTCTAAGATTCATATAGCCGATCCCACTCAGTGACTTGGATTTTCCAAGTCTCCAACCGAGAAGTTTTCCTCACTCGGAGAAATTAAGGGAACACTACCTCAACCTACATGCTCCACTCACAAAGCTTCAACATACAAGCTTCAACAAAAGAAAATTCAAAGAACTTAGCGAAGAAGGCTTTGGTGTATTTAACACAATACGTTGAAATGAAGGAAAGCTTATTTATTGATATCCCCGATAAGTTACAAATATGTACATATACTTGAGTCAAAATAAACAAACAAGAGGGAGCCTTCACAAAGGTTGCTTAGGAGAAGTCTCAGCAGTCGGTAGAGCCCCAGAAAGAGAAGGCACCGGAGGGGGATCATTCGGAGCCTCAGTACTGGACAGAACCCTAGAAGGAGGAGGCATCAGAGGTTGATCATTTGGAGCTTCATTACGCGGTACAGCCCCAGAAGACGAAGGCAATAAATGCCTTTGGAACAAACCCACAAATCTCTGATGATCAAGTAAAACCTGACCATCAGATTCCTTCATCTGGTCAAGCTTCCTCTTCATGTTTGTAGCATAGTCATGTGCGAGCCGGTGCAACTGTTTATTCTCATGCTTGAGCCCTCTAATCTCCTGTTTGAGACTCATCACTTCAGCCGCCAATGATTCAACTTGGCGGGTTCGAGCAAATAGGCGTTGGGCCATATTAGACACAGAACCTGCACACTGAACACTGAGAGCCAGAGAATCCTTAACAGTCAACTCATCAGACCGTTTGGAAAGTAGTCTGTTATCTTTGGGAGTGAGAAGGTTCCTGGCCACTACCGCAGCGGTCATATCATTCTTCATCACGGAATCCCCAACGGTAAGAGGACCAGTAGGGGAGACGAAGGATGGGCGCCATATGTTGTCTGGAGAAGGCGGGGCTGCCTCTTCAACAAGGTTCAAGTCAAAACGACGGTCGGAGGGGCCAGACATTTTCAAAGGTGTTGAAGAGAGAAGAGGTCGGACAAATCAAGATCTTAGAAGTGCAAGAATGGAGCTTCTACTGGTGGATATTCAAGTGTTGCTTTGGAACTTAATGTCAGCCCCTATAAAAATCTGCACTCGACGAAGCTTTAGAAATCGAAGAGGCGCCTGCTCAGAAATCGAAGAGGCGTTTGCTTTCTCAAAAGCTGGGCTGCTCAGAGACCACGAGGGTCGATCTCAGAAATCGAAGAGGCGTTTGCTTTCTCAAAAGCTGGGCTGCTCAAAGACCACGAAGGCCAATCTCAGAAATCGAAGAGGCTTGCTTTCTCAAAAGCTGGGCTGCTCAGAGACCATGAGGGCCGATCTCAAAAATCGAAGAGGCACCTACTTTTCCAGCCTTGTCAGCACCTGTCACACGCACACTCAGCTTTGCGGAAATTATGGGCATTCTGTCGAAGATTTCTGGCGAAGTAGAAAGCACATGAATCGTACTGTTCAATCACCCACTTCCCACACGCAACAGTAGCTCATGGGTACCACAGATAACTTTGCCAAAGTTCTCTGACAAAGTTGAGACACGTGAAGCTTGCAGCTCCCACTACATCACTCTGACCAAGAAGGGTAAAAGAATAGCAAAGAAACAACACTAACAAAGTTTAGACACATAAATTTTGAAGGTCTAGCTACCATAGTATTACCCACAAGGGTAAAGGAACAGTACCATTGCTGGATAATTGGAAAGTCCCGGTGTGTCAACCTCTGTGCTTCGTGGCAAGGTAGACTAGCAAACATGCCCAACCTTTACTCACATTCGAGAAAACACTCCCAACAAGATTGCTTGCTCCAAAATCGAAGAGGCACCGCCCTCCGAATCTCGAGAGCCAGACTCCCAACATGATTACTTTCTCAAAAATCGAAGAGACACCGTTCTCCGAATCTCGAGAGCCAGACCCTCAGCAGGATTGCTTTCTCAAAAATCGAAGAGGCATCGTTCTCCGAATCTCGAGACCAGATCCCCGACAGGATTGCTTGTTCGAAAACCGAAGAGGCACCACTTTCCCAACTTCAAGAGCTGGATCTCCTTGGATAAAGCTTGTCTGTAATCTTCACACGCAACATCAGCTTTCCAGATACCACAGACCACTTTTTCAAAGTGCTCTGACAGAGTTAAAACATGTGAAGCTGGCAGTTCCCACTACCGTGCTATGACCAAACAGGGTAAAGGAATAACATTATTACTTGATGTTAGGGAGACTTCTATATATGTCGACCTCTATCCCCAACGGACAGGCAGACCTGCAAAAATGCTTAACCCTTCCTCTTATCTGAGAGGGCACTCCCAACGAAGCCTTTCGAAATATTCAGCTTTCTTTCCCCCCGATAATACCTCTGTAAACAAGCTATACTAGAGCAAGAATATCTCATATCATCAGGGTTAAAAGCAAGAGTATCCCATATCATGCTTTTTCCTTGTCTTTTCCTTTGACCTTGTTCTTACTTGCAAGACAAGGAGAAAGAGAGCAATCAGTCAGCACTTGGAATCAAGCTTCCAGCCAGGAACTGACTGCCTGGAACCCCTTACCTGATTACTTACCTAGCATTGCTCTCGAGTACTCATCTTCAACATCTTATGCTTCCAGGGAAGATACCGCATCTGCCTGAGGAACAGATATGGCAAGTGAGAAGGATACAAGGAAGCATGTGGAGACAAGCGTAATAGCACACGTGCTGATACATCCACTACTCTGTCAAAAGCAAAGGTATCCCATATCAGCAGGGTCGAACGTACTCTAGATTTGATGGACTTGTTTTGACTCTCAAATTCTTCAGTCGGCCTTATACTCTGGAGGAAACCAGAAAACCCTCCAGCCCAGTTCAAGAATAAGCCTGTGGAAAGTTACTTCTTCAAAAGCAAAAGTATCCCATATCATCTCTTCTCATTTTTCTTCTCTTTATCCTTCATGCTGCCTGCAAGATAGGGAGAATGTGAACAATCAGCCGGAGCTCTGATTGCTTACCTTGTCTGTTACCTCTTTCAGCAGATCCCCTAGCTCGGCGACTTGGGGGACTCCTACTACATGGTTTGTATCGCGCTTGACCAAGCCAGAAACTACAAGTAAGCTTCAAGTGAAATTGATACATTACCTTGTGCATCTCCACCAGTTACAGATACCACCCCTGGATGGAGGAAGAGTACTTCCAGAGAAGATGTCACATCTACCTATGAGACAGATAAGGCAAGTCAAGACGATACCACACTCCGGTACTTAGAAGTTTCGTGGTTACGAGATCATTCTCCCACAATATTTCTTAATGTCATTGTACTAAATCATTCACTTGTACTCACTAAAGGAGAGCTTGAACCTATGTACTTGTGTAAACCCTTCACAATTAATGAGAACTCCTCTATTCTGTGGACGTAGCCAATCTGGGTGAACCACGTACATCTTGTGTTTGCTTTCCTATCTCTATCCATTTATATACTTATCCACACTAATGACCGGAGCAATCTAGCGAAGATCACAAAAAGTGACCATTTTCGCTACCTAGGATCTATCTTGCAAGAGAACGGAGAATTAGATGGAGATCTCAACCATAGAATACAAGCTGGATGGATGAAGTGTAAGAGTGCATCCGGCGTATTGTGTGACCGTCGTAGGCCACTGAAGCTCAAGGGAAAATTTTATAGGACGGCAATAAGGCCAGCGATGTTGTATGGCACAGAATGTTGGGCGGTGAAGCATCAACACGTACACAAAATGGGTGTAGCGGAGATGAGGATGCTTCGTGGGATGTATGGGCACACGAGAAAGGATAAGATTGGGAATGAGGATATCCGAGGTAAAGTAGGAGTAGCCAAAATTGAAGGAAATATGAGAGAAAATCGGTTCCGGTGGTTTGGACATGTGCAAAGAAGGCCTACTGACGCTCCGGTTCGAAAATGTGACTACGGGACAGAGGTTCAGGGCCGAAGGGGTAGAGGAAGACCTAGGAAAACTTTGGAAGAGACCCTAAGAAAAGACTTGAGTACTTGGATCTAACGGAGGACATGACACAAAACCGAGCGCAATGGCGTTCTAGGATTCATATAGCCGACCCCACTTAGTAGGAAAAGGCTTTGTTGTTGTAAACTGTCCAAGATATGCACAACTTAAGAGTATCTGAACAACAAAGAAAAACTTTTGGATCAAAATAATAGAACATCTATGGCGATGTGCAACAAGCAGAACCTTCCAACGCAATAAATCCGTCGATGAAAGCTTCAGAAAACGATTACTCACAAAAATTTCCAAAGAGAAGCTTCCAATATGTTAAACTGAATCCCAAAGAGAAGCTTCCAATATGTTAAACTGAATCATGATTGGTGATCTAGAACTAGAAGTTAAATTTCACCAGAAAACAAGTGGCACCCTCAAGAACTGAAGAAATGGTTTTCCTTCTAGGTCTGGAGCTGAAGAAACGGTTAAATATGCGAATACAAAGCTCGAAAAAGATCAAGTATGCTTAGGGATGGGCAAAATACCCATGGGTATGAGTAACCGCGGTTACCCGCCCATTTAAAGTTGATGGTTATGGTTATGGGTAACCGTTTAAACAAATAAACGGTTATGGGTATAACCGTTTATCCATGAAATTTAAATGGGCGGTTATAGGTATTATCCGTGGTTATAACGGGTATCCATCAGTTATGGTTAATATTCATGGTTATAACGGGTATCCATTTACCCATTCATGTTATTACCGTGACATTTTAATTTAATAGGAGAGAAGAAGTGATTGAGGTGACTTTAGAAAACTGTGGAGTAGAGAGCACCGAAGTTGCATGCATCAAAAGCAGGTTTCACTGACTTCTTCACCCAAAGCTGCTTTTTTCAATCTGCTTCTGTTTCGCCTGCGCAACTGACATGAAGACCCATACTTTTGTTTGAGGACAATCCACTTTAAATTGTGGAAAGACAGACATGCCCATGTAGTTCTGATGTGTAACTGATAACACTAGTTGTTTGAAGGGTATTATTGACTGTTCACAACATTAATTGATTGAGTAGATTGGTTACTGAATTGGGTAGCAAGCAACTGTGTTTTGTTGAGCTGAGGACGCTTATGGTGGCTACTGATTGGGCTGATGCTCGAGCTATGGGGGAGTTGGCTATTGCTGGACATGTAAGTGCTTCTGCTCAAAAGTGCTTAAGAATGCCTAATATTTTAAAATTGACGTGTTAGTGATATCAAGTTCAGGTTTGATCAGAAACTCAAAAAATAAAGAACAAAAGTCGAAATTTTTATTGAAAATGCTTCTTGAAAAAGCAGTTGGAAGTGCTTTTCATTTTTTGATTAACTATCGTTAAAAAAATAATGTAGACGGGAGAAAAAAAAGGGTAAATGGGTAAAAAAAGGATAGACGGGCGAAAAAATGGGTAAACGGGTAAATGGTTATGGTTATGGTTAAATGGGTAAATGGTTATGGGTAAATGGGTACACGGTTATGAGTATGGATAATCGTTTATAAACGGTTATGGTTATGGGTATAACCATTTATGTAATTATCTAACGGGTAAACGGTTATGCGGGTATGAACATAAACGGTTATGGGTAAAATAACCGCGGTTACCCGCCCGCATAACCATTGCCCATCCCTAAGTATGCTCAAAACAGGTAGAGAGGCTTCTTCTTAAATCTTAGCTAATCGCATAATTGTTCAACACATCCGATCCAACTAGATACCCCGTCACTGCCAATACAATACCACTCATCATGGACATGATACATCCCTAATCCACTACTAATATCTCCATATATGGGTGAATTTCGAAGAACCACAAAAATTGAAAACCATCTTTCTCTGGTTTTAGCTACACAAAAATTGAAAGCAAAAGTAGAAATAATAATGTAAAACTATAAAAGTCACAGAAAGGAAGGATTAAACTGACTTGGCAACTGAGCAGTCCTCAAGCTGCTTTACAGTCTCTTGGCTTCCCATCTCTCTCTGGTTTTAGCTACACCTGTGCTTACGAGTAGCAATCCACTTCAATCCTATTCCACTCTCCAGTCAGTTTCGACAAAGCGACATTTTACTACTCCAATACACGAGAAGCAAATTTCAAACTTGGGCGGAAGGAGGCGGGCCCACTGCCCTCCAACTGGCCTAACCTATTTTACGAAATTTGATAATTATGAATGTTGGATTATGGTTAATCACCAAATACCCTAAAGAAACTCAAAAATCCCATTGAAATGCATAAACAAAACCGAGAGGAATGAACAAAAAGCAATTGAATTTGGAAATTTAAAAAGTACCCATTGAAATGCAAGGCAAATGAAGCACCTGATCAGATACACGGCTGAGAAGTTGAAGATTTCATCACAATCCTCCTCAAAGATCAAAACTTTGATTTTGTGCCCCCTGAGCCTGATTCGGGTCATAGCTTACATGGGCCGGGTGGAATTTGGGGGCGGGGGGCGGGGGGGGTCGGGAAAAAGCCCAAATCCCGGCCCAACTGGTATAAAGGAGTTTCAGACTCTCGTACAGGGGAACGAGGAGAGAGATGATGAGAGGTGCGGGAGGTCCTCTTCTATGCATAGGCGATCTGCTGAGCGACGTGGGGGAATCAGATGCTTCGCCGCCACCGCAACAGCCTGAGACCTCTTCGTCTTCTTTTGTTTCCAGCTCCGATCAGAGCTTGGACCTCACCAAGTTGTTCCAGGTTTTCCTTTTTTCACAATCTCATTTGCTTTTTTGATTCGCTTTTTGTGAATTGCAAGAACAATTCGGTGGGTTTTCCACATTTTTGTTTGGAAAACCGAAAACCCATTAGTTGGATTTTTCGGTTGTAGAATCCTTTTTGATAGGAAGATCAAAGATGGACAAAAGTAAACAACTTTTATGTGGAATTTGCTTATGTAAGAAACACTTCCGCTCATAAACGCTCTTGCTAGAAGTGCTTTTATTAGAATTACATTGAAATTTTTATTAAAAGTCAAAGTGCTTCTATGACCCAAAGAACTTTTATGTTTTAGTGCGAAATGTAGTCAGAAACGCTTTTAGTCCTAATATACTTTTAGCCTTTTCAGAAGTGGTCCCAAACAGACCCTTAGACTTTAGAGATCATGGGTAAACCTGGTTCCTTTTGTAATATGCCTTGTGTATATGATCTTCAGATCTCGTTAATAAAGTTTTGCTGAACTGCTGTTCTGAAAGAAAAGGTTTCAGTGTCTAATAACGTAGTTTTGCAATTGCATTCTCCTATTGTTGTATGGGGGTGTTCCTTACTCTATATACTATCTTCGTTTTAGGAGAACTATGAGCAGCTGAATGAGGCGCTTGACGGTACAGATCATTCATGGGCAGCTCTTACTTTGAAGGTGATGAATGATCTTATCAGAATGTATGAATGACATATCTATAGATTCTGCTAGGATGATTAATGTTCCACTTCTTCTTACCGCGCCATTGTTTCTTCTCCATAATTTGTGCAGCGCCTAGTATGCTATCTAACATTTAGATACTTTTTCTTGCATGGTAAACATTTTATTTTTTGGGCTCGGATGTGTGCGGTGTGTGTGTTTTTTGTTTTGGGGGGTGGGGGCGGGGGGGGGGGGGGGGGGTGGAACATTCACATGATTTTAATTGTAGATTATTCTTTGTTCATTATTTTGGGAAATTAGTGTCTTGTAGGTTGTAGAATGTAGATGTGTGTTTTGTTTTTTTTTTTTGGGGGGGGGGGGTGAACATTCACATGATTTTAAATGGGAAATTAGTGTCTTTAGGTTGTAGAATGTAGATGTGTTTTTTTTTGGGGGGGGGGTACATTCACATGATTTTAATTGTAGATTATTCTTTGTTCATTATTTTGGGAAATTAGTGTCTTGTAGGTTGTGGAATGTAGATCATTATACTCAAGCAATTTTATATTCCTTTTGGCACGATGAATTGCATTACAATTGGTCAATTATCGCTCACATAATTAGGTATATAGAGAGAATAGTCTCATAACTTACGAGACAAATGATATCAAAACATAACAAAATAATATATAAACCAGTTTATATTTTCACATAACTACGTAAATATTCCCTGTAAGATTTTCACGTAACTATGTCCCTATATGATTTCTATATGCATGGTTGGAAAAATACTTAAAGAAATAAACTCCCCCTAATGCATTTGACATCACTGTGACTGAGTCTGTGATGTTAGTGTTTATGATCTCTGTGTGTGGTAATAGAGGTATCAGAGCAATTTTGTTCAAGCAGAAAATCAATGAGATGATGATCTCTGCCCGAAGAGCATGAAAGAACGGAGATGCGAGAAACTCGGAGTCGTAGCTCCTTGGATTCGATTTAGGTGTAATTGAGTCCATGCTTACAGAAATGGAAATGGAGGTGAGTTATAGCCGTTGGAGGGGCACTCACTCATCCAACTCACACACTCACGTGCACAACACATGATTAACTATAAGTGAGTTGTTATGACATGTGGCACCCATGTAGCCTATTAGCTTTGTTTTAATCTCAGCCTTACATTACAAACTAAGAACAAACACTCAAAATTGAAAGGAAACATGTAACTTGGATCAAATGCAGTTGCGGAAGCTTAAGCACCAACACTCCCTTCTAAGCTGGCTGCTGATTTGACTCCAACATTTCTCTAAAATAGTTGAACTTCTCCTTTGGCAGTGCCTTGGTCAAGATATCAGCCATTTGTTCCTCGGATTTGCAGTAACAAGCTCAATTTCCTTCTCTTGGATTGCCTCCCTGATGAAGTGAAATTTCCTCCTGATGTGCCTTGTTTTCTGGTGAAATAATGTATTCTTATCACATTAGCAATGTAGGCTCCACTTGTTCTTCCCCAAAGTCTTCTAGACTAGAACAAATCTCAGCCACTTGGCTTGTGAAGTTGCTTCAGCTGCACTCACATATTCAACCTCTGTAGTGGATAATGCCACTGTTTTTTGCTTGATTGAAGCCCAAGAAAACACACATGATCCCAGATTGAAGGCATACCCTAAGGTGCTTCTCATATCATCCTCACTGCCAGCCCAATCACTATCACAATATCCCATAAAAAGAGCTGATTTTCCCTTCACATACTCAATGCTAAAATCCAAAGTACCTCGAATGTATCTCAGTACCCTTTTTTCTATTCCCATATGTTTCTTAGTTGGATCATGCATTAATCTTGCCAAGAGACTAGCACCAAACATAATGTCTGGTCTAGTGGCACTAAGGTACAACAAACTTCGTACCAATTTTCTATGTTCAGACTCATCTGCAGCCTCACTTCCATCATTCTTGCATAGCCTGTCATGTGCTGCAAGTGGTGTTCCCACAGATTTACAGTCTTTTAGGCCAAATTTCTCCAACAGCTTCATTGCATACTTCTTCTGTTGAATGAAGATGCTCTTCTTTGTTTGTATAACTCCCATACCAAGGAAATGGTGCAGCAATCCCAAATGTCATCTCATAATGCTGCATCATGTCATTTTTGAACTCCTCAAGCATTGCGACACTACTTCCAGAGTACACAATATCATCAACATGTAGAGAAACAATGAGAATTCTTGAGTTTTCAACCTTTGTGTATAAGGTGGCTTCACTTGGACTCTTTTGAAAACCAGCCTATGTAAAATAGGAATCAATTTCATCATACCAAGCTCTTGGAGCTTGCTCCTATATAATGCCGTATTCAGCTTGTACACTTTATCCTCCTTGCCTTGAATGACAAATCCTTGAGGTTGATCGACATAAATCTCCTTCTTGAGTACACCATTAAGAAAAGCAGACTTTACATCCAACTAAAATAGCTGCCAGTCCTTTTGAGCTGCAAGAGCTATTAGTGTTCTTATGGTGTCTTGCCTAGCAACTGGTGCACACAGGTTTCATTAAAGTCAATATCTGGCTTTGCAACCAATCTGGCTTTGTTCTTTTGTATTGTCCCATCTTGGTTCAACATAATCTTGTACACCCATTTCACACCTATGACAAGTTTGCTAGAAGGCCTATCAACCAGGATCCATGTATGGTTCTTTTCAATCATATCTAGCTCAGCTTGCATAGCCTTCTTCCAAGAATCATCCTGAGCTGCCTTTTCATAATTCTCAGGTTTTAAATGCATACATTGCACTGAGCCATAACTTCATCCAGTGCTCTCCACTTCTTTGGAGTGAAGTCATAGCTCTGTGATAGACTCAAGTCCCCCTGTGAACTTGGACAATCAATGTTTGAACTCAATTATTCCTGTGGAGTGGTAGGAGCAATCGTAGAAGATACTAACTCTTCTTGTTCTTCTGAGTTTGAACTGGTTCAATTTCTGCATTACCAGTAGTGGTTGGTACACTGAAATACTTCTTAGAGCTTGCTTCCCATTTCCATCTACCATTCTCATCAAATACCACATCCTTGGATAGGATAATCTTCGTAGTGATAGGATCAAAGACCCTGAATCCTTTTTCACTGGTGCCATATCCCACAAAAATGAACTTGTGATTGTTACACTCAAGCTTGTGTCTCAGATTTAATGGAACATGAACATAGCATATTGAACCAAAGACATTCAAGTGTGCAATTCCTGCTTCAAGTGTGTAATCACTCTCTTTAGATGATTCTGGGATAGTAAACCCATTTTCTACAAGCCCAAAGCCCATGAGACTTGAGAATGGATTGCATTCTGATTCTCCAGAATTCATAGTTTTCACCATTGAAAACTGGAGTGCGAAGCTCAGAACTCGTTAATCAGCCATATTAGACTCGGAGCTTCAATTTTCACAGGCTTTCAAAGCACGATTCTACAGCAATGAAGCCCGATGAAAGTGATTCGCTGAAGAACACAGAAATCACAGATTCATGCCCAGATTAAAGCGACGAACCTGGCTTTGAGGCCATGTTTAGTGTTTATGATCTCTGTGTGTGGTAATAGAGATATCAGAGCAACTTTATTCAAGCAGAAAATTAATAAGATGATGATCTCTGCTCGGAGAGCATGAAAGAATGGAGATGCGAGAAACTCGGAGTTGTAGCTCCTTGGATTCGATTTAGGTGTAACTGAATTGATGCATATAGAAATGGAAATGGAGGTGAGTAACAGCCGATGGAGGCGCACTCACTCATCCAACTCTCACACTCACTTGAACAACACATGCTCACCTATAAGTGAGTTGTTATGACATGTGGCACACATGTAGCCTATTAGCTTTGTTTTAATCTCAGCCCTACATTACAAAATAAGAACAAGCACTCCAAATTGAAAGGAAACATGTAACTTGGATCAAATGCAGCTGCAGAAGCTTAAGCACCAAGATGTGACTCCATATTAGTCACAGAAAGTCCCAAAACTTGCCTGGACAAAAAGATAGGACAAAATTATAACCAAAAAAAAGTTTGGACACCATATAATTTTGTTCTTTGTACAACAACGTAATGTTACCATTGATATTTAGATTTATAGATTATGGGACTTTTCTGTGTTATGGTGTAAACAATTGTTGTGACTCGTAATATGGTGTAGATTCTGAAGTTTTTATCTTTTAATTATTCCAGTTATGCAGTGCTTTGGAAACTGCAAACAAGTTAGTTCAGTCAACAAACTCAAATGTCATGTCAATGTCGGAGAAGGTTGGAGAGCTTGAGGGAGTTATCAAGAGGGCAGATTCTGCCATATCAGCAGCAAGGGTCGTTCATGGTTCACTAAACAAAAAGGAAGGACCACTTATTGGCAATCAAAATGCCAAATGATCCATGTCTTGTCGAGAGCCAGGTTAGTTAATTCGATCAAGGGAAAAAATGTGAAAATACTAAGCCTTAGAAACTGCGGTGTTTGCTGTTAAAAAAGTCTTTTCCTTTGCTTTTCTTCATTTTCACAACAAAATGTATCATACAATAGGAGTAAGAAAGCGAACCTGTCTGATGCAAAAGGGAGATGTAACTATCAATTATCCATCGTGTATGGATAGAACAAATCTATCTCTTGCTTATTTCCTGAGATGCCTCGTCAAACTGAGAGTTTTGGTTTCTACGGTTTTAAGATATATTCCAACACAGAGGTCATCACCTCACTTGCATAGAAAATTTCTCGTTTTATTCCTATTTGGTTGATATTATTTGTGAATCGACAATGTTGTAAAAATCTGTCTTGATATTCTCATTTTGGTAGTTATTGGTTCTTGCATTCTTGTTTACTAACTGTGGCCAAAAAGCTCTCTCTTAGAATATAGCATCGACAGTCTTATTGCTTTGGCTATATTTTCAATTAAATGATTGCAAGCTTCGTTGACGGATCTGAAGCTGGGACATCATGCTGAGATGAATATTGTTTAGAAATCTGTAGATCGTAAGTTTCTTGTGTGAGAAATCGTTGACTAGCATAGAGTCGTTTTCTGCTCCATATATGGTTGCAGCGCAATACTAGACCATAGAGGATTCTATGGACACTAAAAGATTGTCCTCCGACGTCAGTTTTTGTAAATACAACATCCATTTTTGCTCTAGTTCCTCAAATTTTTGTTCTTATTGTGAAAAAAAAAAAGAACGGTTTAACTTTATTGATCTCCATTTGAGTGACTTTGTATGTAAGTGTAGCTTTTGAAATGCTTGAATCTCTAGTGTGCAGAGATGAATTTAGAATTTTCGACCAAAAAAAGAGTTGATTTTGTGGTTTCCATATATAATCACTTTGGTCGAAATTCTCTCCCGCGCATTTTTCTTCAGGACTGAATGGGTTGGGATCCAACTAGTTGAGATTTAGTTAAATCTCAAACGTGTACACGTTAAAAACATGCGTAGGTCAGCAAGGCTTATCACTCTAAACTATATTACGAAGTGGCCTGAAAAATCCACTAGGAAATTTTGAACAGATTCATAACTCTACCAGGTTATAAAGTTTGAAACCCATATCCTTAGCAACCCATAACACAACAAAACCCAAGTGCAGTTCAATTTAGTCCTACAAGTCTGGTTCAAAACACTTCTCAATTTACCAACCTCTTCAATTCAACAGATTCTTAAATACATTTTCGTTTCAATGCTCCTTTGCCAACGAGACCCAAGGGTGACCAGCGTGTGTTCCAACCCACTTCAAATCAGAAAGAAAGAAAAGGAATTCTATCCTGTGCACATAGGTTTTGCGCACATATCTCGTATGGACAATATATTCCCACTATATTAACAGTATAATGACAACACAGTTTTTATTATTATCAGTATGGTGAAAATACGACGTTAATACACTATCAATATTGGTAATGCACAACCCATGCGTGGGCAGGCGGGCCACTTAAATGTTTACGTTGACAAATTGGACGCATGGGGATCATTTGATAATAAATTTGGGCCTCAGTGTGAAAGAAGCACATTTTAACTCGATCCATATTTGATACTATTATTATTATTATTATTATTTTTTTTTTTTTGAACGAGTATATTTGATACTGTCTAAAAGGTAAGAGTTGGGGTAACTTAGAGCAGACTCCAAGTCACTTGGAGATTGCTAAAGAGAATCCTAGTCCTAAATGAGTTGGATATTTGTATCGATAAGATCATCGCCAAATCTTGAGTATCAGTTAAGGATCAAATAAGATCGTTTTGCGATTCTACTCCTAAATGAATTAGGTCATCTAACACCATTATATCAAGACCTCACTGCCCCTCCTCCAAAGTGTGCACTTCTAAGCCTTAGAGGGCTTTTGAACGACACCACACCAGTGTTCTCCCAATAGCTCTTCGTAGAGCTCTAGATGACGTCCTCCTTGGTTGCGTCGAGCTAGTTTGGAAGAATTGTTTGTCCTCAATCACGAGACGTCACCTTGTTGAACCAATTTTAGTCATCAACATGGAAAATGAGGGATAGAGAGTGTAGAAGAAAATGTATAAGGAAAGGTACACAAAATGAAAATTAAAACCAAAAACTATTATAAGTTGTTTTCACTTTCAAAATTTTATTTTCATTCATTTTCCATTCCGTCTTGCCACCCCTTTTTCATCCCTTATTTTCTTGCCACGTGATATTCCCATGTCTCACTCACAAAAAATATAATAAAAATAGAAAGCAAACAGTTATCAAACAGCCCCTTGAAGTTTGAGGTGATTTTGATAGGGGTAGTGTTATCTATACACCCATTTTTACTTCGGATTGATTGAATTGAAGATGATCAATAGCCAAAAATTAATAAGAGTATGAGAGGTAAAATTGGGTGTTGAAATAGCATTGTACTTTTGAAAATGGGCCATGAGGTTTCAATTCTCACATTGCACCCTAAGGTTTTGAGATTGTATCGATTTACACGTTATGTATCTTTGAACGTCAAATCATCCGCAAAATTGATGAGTTTTTCTTTGTCATTGTGGTGCAAACATGGCTTACATGTCAGGCCATACAGAGTCTCAAACTGACTGCCTCATTAATTTAATAAATTATCATATAATCAATCAGACCTAAGACACACAACAACAACAACAACAACAAAGCCTTTTCCCACTAAGTGGGGTCGGCTATATGAATCCTAGAACGCCATTGCGCTCGGTTTTGTGTCATGTCCTCCGTTAGATCCAAGTACTCTAAGTCTTTTCTTAGAGTCTCTTCCAAAGTTTTCCTAGGTCTTCCTCTACCCCTTCGGCCCTGAACCTCTGTCCCGTGGTCACATCTTCGAACCGGAGCGTCAGTAGGCCTTCTTTGCACATGTCCAAACCACCGTAACCGATTTTCTCTCCTCTTTCCTTCAATTTCGGCTACTCCTACTTTACTTCGGATATCCTCATTCCTAATCTTATCATTTCTCGTGTGCCCACACATCCAACGAAGCATCCTCATCTCCACTACACCTACGTGTTGATGCTTCACCGCCCAACATTCTATGCCATACAGCATTGCCGGCCTATAAAATTTTCCCTTAAGCTTCAGTGGCCTACGACGGTCACACAACACACCGGATGGACTCTTCCACTTCATCCATCCAGCTTGTATTCTATGGATGAGATCTCCATCAAATTCTTCGTTCTTTTGCAAGATAGATCCTAGGTAGCGAAACGGTCGCTCTTTGGTATTTCCTGACCTCCGATCCTCACCCCTAACTCATTTTGGCCTCCGTTTGCACTGAACTTGCACTCCATATATTCTGTCTTTGATCGGCTTAGGTGAGGACCTTTAGATTCCAACACTTCTCTCCAAAGGTTAAGCTTCGCGTTTACCCCTTCCTGCGTTTCATCTATCAACACTATATCGTTTGCGAAAAGCATACACCAAAGAATATCATCTTAAATATTAAGTTTGTGATCTTCGCTAGATTGCTCCGGTCATTAGTGTGGATAAGTATGTAAATGGATAGAGACAGGAAGCAAACACAAGATGTACGTGGTTCACCCAGATTGGCTACGTCCACGGAGTAAAGGAGTTCTCATTAATTGTGAAGGGTTTACACAGTATATAGGTTCAAGCTCTCCTTTAGTGAGTACAAGTGAATGATTTAGTACAAATGACATTAGAAAATATTGTGGAAGAATGATCTCGTAATCACGAAACTTTTAAGTACCGAAGTGTGGTATCGTCTTCACTTGCCTTATCTGTCTCATAGGTAGATGTGGCATCTTCTTTGGAAGTACTCTTCCTCCCTCCAAGGGTGGTATCTTTAACTGGTGGAGATGCACAAGGTAATGTATCAATTTCACTTGACGCTTACTTGTAATTTCAGGCTTGGTCAAGCGCGATACAAACCATGTAGTAGGAGTCCCCCAAGTCGCCGAGCTAGGGGATCTGCTGAAAGAGGTGACAAACAAGGTAAGCAATCAGAGCTCCAAGCAATCAGTCCCAGATCAGAAGTTTGATTTTGAGTTCCGGATGATTGTTATCCTTCTCCTTATCTTGCAGGTAGCATGAAGGATAAAGAGAAGAAAAGGAGAAAAGGTGATATGAGATACTTTTGTTTTTGAAGAAGTAACTTTCCACAGGCTTATTCTTGAACTGGGCTGGAGGGTTTTCTTGTTTCCCCCAGTGTATAAGGCCGACTGAAGAATTTGAGGGTCAAAACAAGTCCATCAAATCTAGAGTACGTTCGACCCTGCTGATATGGGATACTTTTGCTGTTGACAAAGTAGTGGATGTATCGGCACGTGGTTGCGCTTGTCTCCACATGCTTCCTTGTATCCTTCTCACTTGCCCTATTTGTTCCTCAGGCAGATGTGGTATCTTCTCGGGAAGCATAAGATGTTGAAGATGAGTACTCGAGAGCAATAGGGTTCCAGGCAGTCAGTTCCGGACTGGAAGCTTGATTCCAAGTGCTGAATGATTGCTCTCTTTCTCCTTGTCTTGCAGGTAAGAACAAGGCCAAAGGAAAAGACAGGGAAAAAGCATGATATGGGATACTCTTAATTTTAACCCTGATTATATGAGATATTCTTGCTCTAGTGTAGCTTGTTTGCAGAGGTATTCTCGGGGGGAAAGAAAGCTGAGTATTTCGAGAGGCTTCGTTGGGAGTGCCTTTTCAGATATGAGGAAGGGTTGAGCATTTTTGCAGGTCTGCCTGTCCGTTGAGGATGGAGGTCGACATATATAGGAGTCTCCCTAACAAGGAGTAATACTATTCTTTTACCCTGCTTGGTCATAGCACGGTAGTGGGAGCTGCCAACTTCACGTGTTTTAACTCTGTCAGAGCACTTTGAAAAAATGGTCTGTGGTATCTGGAAAGCTGATGTTACGTGTGAAGATTACAGATAAGCTTTATCCAAGGAGATCTAGCTCTCGAAGTTGAGAAAGCGGTGTGAGGATTACAAACAAGCTTTATCTAAGGGGCTCTCGAAGTTGAGAAAGCGGTGCCTCTTCGGTTTTCGAACAAGCAATCCTGTCGGGGATCTGTCTCTCGAGATTCGGAGAACAGTGCCTTTTCGATTTTTGAGAAAGCAATCCTGCTAGGAGTCTGGCTCTCGAGATTCGGAGAGCGGTGTCTCGTCGCTTTTTGAGAAAGTAAACACGTTGGGAGTCTGGCTCTCGAGATTCGGAGGACGGTGCC